TCACATTTTCATTTGTGAGGCAGCACTTAAAATTTATCATGCACGACTTTATGTGCTGATGTGCTAATAGTCTTCCTTCTTGTTTGAGAAGAAGAGATGCTACTTTCTGCTCCATCCTATGAAACACACCACCTGCTTCACCAAGCTGGAATGTGGTATTTTTCCACTGAGGAGTACACTTGTTTTTGCAGGCAGAACACAGCAGTGCTGTTTGAAGGCACTGATGATGGCAAAGGATCAAAGGTGGGAGGCGATGGCAGGTGGCAGCTTAGGGAGAGATCAATGCAACCAGTGTGGTGCATTGCTGTCTGCAGACGTACAGGAGCCGAATGAGAATCCTAGGGTAAGGAAGGACAATTAAAAATCCAAGTTGGGCATATTCTCATGTAAATCTGACCATGCTAGGAAATAACAGGCCACTTTTACTATAATCAGAATTATGATCAATCTTGGAAAATGTGATGCTTAATTTGATGGGTAGAACACTAAGCCATTTATCTTTGATTTTTATTCCTGTGCCTTTTGGGTACTAAAAACAAATGAACAATTTTTGTTAAAATTCATGAGAAATAAAAAAGAAAAAATCCTACAGTGAAAAAACAGGTAGCTAGTTTCTTACATTAATTCCTTGACTTTCAGGGACTTTCTACATTTCTCTTAGTTAAGTGAAATTACTCCCAAGTAACATTTCCTGTTATCTAAGAGGAGATGTTAGCTCAAGGCTAGGGCTCCCATAATTCCAGAATTGTTAAGGTGGTTGATAGCTATAGGGATTTGTCACCAAAGACCCTGGAATTGAGTAGGTGTGGATTCCAGGTTGTGTGCTTGGGAATATGATGCAGTATCTTACCAGAGAAAAGCAATTTCTTAGTTCCAGTTTGTTCTCTATGTTGCCCAGAACTACAGATCACAAGCTGGAAGTGCTAGGGAAAAGCAGGGGATGGCTGCTTTAAAGGCAATAATAATTCTGTTAAGTGACAAGATGGGTCCCAAGCTTGAAACTTGCACAGCAGTCAGCTAATTGGTCTGTTGATAAAAGGTAAGATTTTATGTACCCAGTCCTTGCCTACTTCAGAGGTAAGATATTTAATTTTTACAGATTGGTAATGATACTTATAGTTACATCCAAGTAGCATTCTAAAAGAAACAGTAATAAACCTTACTAGTCACTACTATGTTGACTACATTGGTGATTAGAAATAAGGAATTAATAGAAAAATCAAGTACTGCAGGTTCCTCACCCCACCAATCCGTGATGAAATTTTCAGCCAGATGGATAGTTTTGCATTTTTTGGTGTTAAAATGGCTTTTTCTTTTCTTCAACTTTTATTTTAAGTTCAGGGGTACATGTGCATGATGTGTAGGTTTGTTACAGAGGTAAACATGTGCCATGGTGGTTTGCTGCACAGACCATCCATCACCTAGATATTAAGCCCAGCATCCGTTAGCTATTCTTCCTCATGCCCGTTCTCCTCCCACCTTCCACTCCGACAGGCTCCAATGTGTGTTTTTCCCCACCATGTGTCCATTTGTTCTCATCCTTCAGCTCCCACTTATAAGTGAGAAAATGATGTGGTGTTTGGTTTTCTGTTCCTGTGTTAGTTTGCTAAGGATAATGGCTTCTAGCTCCATCCATGTCCCTGCAAAGGACATGATCTTATTCATTTTTATGGCTGCATAATATTCCATGGTACATATGTATCACATTTTCTTTATATAGTCTGTCATTGATGGGCATTTATGTTGATTTCATGTCTTTGCTATTTTGAATAGTGCTGCAATGAAGGTATGTGTGCATGTGTCTTTATAATAGAATAATTTATATTCCCTTGAGTATATACCCAGTTATGGGATTGCTGGGTTAAATGGTATTTCTGCTTCTAGGTCTGTGAAGAATTGGCACATCGTCTTCCACAAGGGTTTAACTAATTTACACTCCCAACAATGTAAAACCATTCCTTTTTCTCTGCAACCTCACCAGCATCTGTTGTTCTTTAACTTTTTAATAATAGCCATTCCGAATGGTGTGAAATGATATCTCATTATGCATTTGATTTGCATTTCTCTAATGAATAGTGATATTGAGTTTTTTTTCATATGTTTGTTGGCCACATGGATGTCTTCTTTTGAAAGGTGTCTTTTCATGTCCTTTGCCCACTTTTTTTTTTATTATACTTTAAGTTCTGGGGTACATGTACGGAATGTGCAGGTTTGTTACATAGGTATACATGTGCCATGGTGGTTTGCTGCACCCATCAACCCATCATCTACATTAGGTATTTCTTCTAATGCTATCCCTCCCTCAGCCCCCACCCTCCAATAGGTCCTGGTGTGTGATGTTCCCCTCTCTGTGTCCATGTATTCTTATTGTTCAGCTCCCACTTAGGAGGAAGAAGATGTGGTGTTTGGTTTTCTGTTCTCGTGTTAGTTTGCTGAGAATGATGGTGTCCAGCTTCATCCATGTCCCTGCAAAGGACATTAACTCATCCATTTTTATGGCTACATAGTATTCTGTGGTGTATATATGCCACATTTTCTTTATCCAGTCTATCTTTGATGGCGTTGCCCACTTTTTAATGGGTATTTTTGTTTGTTTCTTCTAAATTTGCTTAAATTCCTTGTAGACTCTGAATATTAGACCTTTGTCAGATGGATAGATTGCAAAAGTTTTCTCCTATTCTCTAGGTTGTCTGTTCACTCTGATGATAGTTTCTTTGCTGTGCAGAAGCTCTTTAGTTTGATTGGATCCCATTTGTCAATTTTTGCATGTGTTCCAATTGCTTCTGGTGTTTTTGTCATGAAATCTTAGCCTGTGCTTGTGTCCTGAATGGTATTGCCTAGATTTTCTTCTAGGGATTCTGTAATTTTGGTTTTACATTTAAGTCTTTAATCCATCTTGAGTTAATTTTTGTATATGGTGTAAGGAAGGGGTCCAGTTTTAATTTTCTGCATGTGGCTAGCCAGTTGTTTAATCCATCTTGAGTTAAATTTTGTATATAGTATAAGGAAGGGATCCAGTTTTAATTTTCTGCATATAGCTAGCCAGTTCTCCCATTTATTAAATAGGGAATCCTTTCACCATTGCTTGTTTTTGTTAGGTTTGTCAAAGATCAGATGGTTGTAGGTATGTGGTCTTATTTCTGAGTTCCCTATTCTGTTCCACTGGTGTATATATCTGTTCTTGTACCAGTACCATGATGTTTTGGTAACTGTAGCCTTGAGATACAGTTTGCAGTCGGGTAGTGTAATGCTCCAGCCTTGTTCATTTTAGTTAGAACTGTCTTGGCTATTTGGACTTTTTTTGGTCCATATGAAATTTAAAATAGTTTTTTTCTAATTCTGTGAAGAATGTCAGTATAGTTTAATGGGAATAGGATTGATTCTATCAATTACTTTGGGCAGTATGGCCATTTTAACGATATGGATTCTTCCTACTCATGAGCATGGAATGTTTCTCCATTTGTTTGTGTCCTCTGATTTCTTTGAGCAGTAGTTTGTATTTCTCCTTGAAGAGGTTCTTCACTTCCCTTGTTGGCTATATTTCTAGGTATTTTATTCTTTTTGTAGAAATTGTAAATGGGAGTTCATTCATGATTTGGCCCTCTGTTTGCCTGTTGCTATATAGGAATGCTAGTGATTTTTGCACATTGATTTTTTTTTAATCTTTTTTTTTATTGTACTTTAGGTTCTGGGGTACATGTGCAGATCATGCAGGACTGTGGCACAGGTACACACATGACAATGTGGCTTGCTGCCTCCATCCCCCGTCACCTACATCTGGCATTTCTCCCCATGTTATCTCTCCCCAACCTCCCTACTGCCCACCACTGTCCCTCCCTTGCCACCTCACAACAGATCCCAGTGTGTGATGCTCCCCTCCCTGTGTCCATGTGTTCTCATTGTTCATCACCCACCTATGAGTGAGAACATGTGGTGTTTGATTTTGTGTTCTTGTGTCAGTTTGCTGAGAATGATGGTTTCCAGATTCATCCATGTCCCTACAAAGGACACAAACTCATCATTTTTTATGTCTGCATAGTATTCCATGGTGTATATGTGCCACATTTTCCTCGTCCAGTCTATCATCGATGGGCATTTGGGTTGGTTCCAGGTCTTTGCTATTGTAAATAGTGCTACTCTGAACATACGTGTGTATGTGTCTTTATAATAGAATGATTTATAATCCTTTGAGTATATACCCATTAATGGGATTGCTAGGTCAAATGGAATTTCTATTTCTAGGTCCTTGAGGAAGTGCCACACTGTCTTCCACAAGTGTTGATCTAGTTTACACTCCCACCAGCAGTGTAAAAGTGTTCCTGTTTCTCCACATCCTCTCCAACATCTGTTGTCTCCAGACTTTTTAATGATCGTCATTCTAACTGGCATGAGGTGGTATCTCAATGTGGTTTTGATTTGCATTTCTCTAATAATCAGTGATAATGAGCATTTTTTCATATGTTTGTTGGCCTCATATATGTCTTCTTTTGAAAAGTGTCTGTTCATATCCTTCACCCACTTTTGGATGGGTCTGTTTTTTTCTTGTAAATCTGTTTTAGTTCTTTGTAAATTCTGGATATTAGCCCTTTGTCAGATGGGTAGATTGCAAAATTTTTTCCCATTCTGTTGGTTGCTGGTTCACTCTAATCTTGAGTCTTTGCTGAAGTTCCTTATTGGCTTGAGAAGCTTTTGGGCTGAGATAATGGGATTTTCTAGATATAGGATCTTGTCATCTGCAAACAAAGTTAATTTGACTTCCTCTCTTCCTATTTAAATACGCTTTATTTCATTCTCTTGCCTGATTGCCCTGGCCAGAACTTCCAATTCTATGTTGAACAGGGAGAGCATAGGCAGAATGCTATGGTTTAAATGTTGGTTCCCTCATGTTGAAGCTTAATTCCCAGTGCGGCAGTATTGAGATGTGGGAAGATGATAGAGACCTCTTTAAGACATGATAGAGCCATGAGGACTCTGCCCTCAGGAATGAGTTAATCTGTTAGTGGATCAATAGGTTAATGAGTTATCACAAGAGTGAGACTGCTGTCTTTATAAGGTGAAGAAGGAGAGACCTGAGCTTACACACTCAGGCCCCTTGCCACATGATTCCCTGTGCTATCTTGTCACTCTGCAGAGAGTTCCCACCAGCAATAAGGCCCTCACTAGATGCGGCCCTTCAACCTTAGACTTCTAAGCCTCTGCAACTGTAATAAACTCCTTTTTAAACAAAATTCAGTTTCAGGTATTCTGTTATAAGCAACAGAAAATGGACTAAGACACCAGGTTTTATTTGGCTTCTAGATAAGGGTCAATTTTTCCAAGAAGCACATAGCTATGTTTCTCCATTTAAAGGACACAGATTGTGGAGCAGTCAAAATCAGTTGTTTTCAGTAAGTGATTAGTATCACCACCACCACCAAGCCCCATTCTGCCCACAAAAGGCATTTGGAAATGTGTGAGGGCTAATTTTAGTTCCACAAAATAGTCCTGCACTACTACAAATGCGAGTGCACTCTCATTGAAAAACATTGGTTGATTTCATGTTTATCATTAAATGGTGGAATAACAGTTAAATGTAATTTTATTATTATATTAGCTACACAAATACTTTTTTTTTTAAGAGAGTTTCCCTCTTGTTGCCAAAGCTGAAGTACAATGGTGTGATCTCAGCTCATGGCAACCTCCACCTCTCGGGTTCAAGCGATTCTCCTACCTCAGCCTCCCAAGTAGCTAGGGTTCAGATGCAGTCTTTTGAGGCATTTTATTTCTTTTTTTTTTTTTCAGTTTAACATAATGTCAAAGTGTATTTTCAATGTTCCAGTCAGTCCTGGATATATTTGGCTGATAGTTTAAAGAAATAAAATCTTCCTACAGGCTTCAGTTATTAAAATAGAACCAACCACCCACTCATTTTATTACATTCTGTGCAATGTTTTTGAATGACAGTCTAAGTATTTTAATTGGTCTCCAGCTGAATTATAACCCCTTGTTTTATGTTTCACATTTTATATCTCAAAATTACAAGTTACAGTGCCGTTTTTATTCCATGCCATTAAAACAGAGTGAACAGCATTTTTTAAACAGAAAAAGGCACGTTCCATTCAGAAACCCAAGGGTCATTCATTTGCACTGTCTCTTCATTTTTAGGTGCTGGTACTTCTTGTCTGTCCCACTGAGTCTTTGTGTTGCTATTTATCAAAGCTCTGTGCATTTGTGTGGGGTACAGTTGGATTTCGCTGCATCCAGGAAATAAAATCTGTCACTCATCTCATCTCCTGGTTTGAACATAGACTTGCTCAATTTAGGGTTTATCCTCTGCACTTCAGTCTCTGTGTGATGCTTCATGTACCATACATTTATACTGTGGCTGTTCAGTTTTGTTTTCATAAACACACATAAAAATGTTCCTTCGAATTCTACTCATGGCACCCATAGAAACCAGACAGGCAAGATAATCCTAGAGTTTCTCTCCAAACCTGAACCTCAAGTTTAGTTGCAGTTTTATCATTTTACACATTTACCATTAATGGTTCACTTATTCAGAATGGCTAACTTCACATCCACTTGTTGTTTTGTTCCCAGATGCAGCTTTGTGTGTGTCCAAACAGAAGCAGAATCTGTAATTAACTGTGCATTTGTTTGCAAAGACCTTGGCAGTTTTACTGTTTGATATCCCTCATCTAGAAGCTTTAGTTTCATGTTGCATAGCTTTCTTCCTGAGAACCAATTAGACATGTTGGAAAATTAAAATAACTTTTTGGTTTCTTTCAGTGTGATATCTTGCTGTTCAAAAGAGTTGATTTGTCTTCTGAAGAGTATATTTATATTGGGTGGTTGTCTTTTATATGAGCTGTTTCCTGGAAAGATTTTTGAAATGTTGAGCTACAAGATTAACAGCAGTTTCTTTGATGATCAACCTGAGCTATTAATATTGTTCTTTTTACATTATTGATATTAAAATCCAACTGTGAATGATTACTATATGAGTGTCTTTATAAAGCCAGCAGAATTGAAGAATCTCAAGTTTCTGTCCTAAAGTTGCTTGTGTTCTTAAGAAACGTATCTGTCAGGCAAAAAGTCAAAATTCTTCAAAACAATATTAAGATTCCCTGAAGTAACAAATTTCTCTTCCTCTGTGATACATATACATCTAGTTTATTCATAGTTTCATTGCCTGGGTGCTCTCTTTTTTGTAGCTTTGTTACCTCTTAATTTTGTCCAACTATTGTCAATTTTCTTGTTATTTATATCAAGTATAAATTTCAGATGTCTATACAATGATGCCTATTCATATGCAATACTTATTATCGTGTCTGTGCCACATTATTTGAAATTCTTTCATCCCCCTATTTGAATTGGATACCATTCAATACATGTAGCAAGTAGGAACAAGTCATTTAACCTTTTCCACTAATGAGGAGGTAGCATTGCATTGTCTTAGATAAGCAGTCACTTTCTTCTTGCCAAATCTCAGTTTTCATTGTAGTATATAGAAAGTAGTCAATAAAAATAACAAATGAAACCTCCTTAATTTATTGTAGCATTCTATATTATTGACGATTTTTATTTTCTTCTTACTCATGCAATTGTTTTTTATTATAATGAAATATATGATTATTTTAAATAATTTGTAAGTATAGATAAGCAAAGAAAGGAAACAAAAAGCATCCATAAATTAGTCATTTGGTTTATGGATACTGCTATTAATTCTGTTATTATTCTACCCATTCCTTTATATTATGCTTTACTTATAAATAGCTTACTTTTCTAAATAATGGGGTTACATGGTACATAATGTTTTGAACTTTTTAATACATAGTAATTAATACATTTTGAATGTATTTCATGAATATTTATATCTAAAGCATAATTTTAATGAATGAATTGTATTATATGTGCCACTTTTTGGGGTTTATCTCTCCCATTTGAGTCTTGAGCCCACCATATACTAAACATTCCCAACTTGGATACCCTACATACCCCTCAATACTTGGTGTTCTCCCAATAACACACATCATCTCCCCCACATGCACTTTTTCTCCAATGTTCCCATGTCAGTTGCTTCTTATTGCTCAGTTCAGGAAGCTGGACATCATCTTTGATCCATGTCCCCCCACCCCACTTTAAATCAGTCACCAAGTCTTAGGTTATTCAGTTCCAAATTTCTTTCAGATCCATTGCTCCTTCCTCGTCCCTACATAGGTGCTATTTTTCGTGTGAATTAACGTAGGTGATTTTTTTTATTGCATTTTAGGTTTTGGGGTACATGTGAAGAATATGCAAGATTGTTGCATAGGTACACACATGGCAGTGTGATTTGCTGCCTTCCTCCCCATCACCTATATCTGGCATTTCTCCCCATGCTATCTCTCCCCAACTCCCCAACCCCCACTGTCCCTCCCCTATTTCCCTCGACAGACCCCAGTGTGTGTTGCTCCCCTCCCTGTGTCCATGTGTTTTCATTGTTCAACACCCTCCTATGAGTGAGAACATGCAGTGTTTAATTTTCTGCTCTTGTGTCAGTTTGCTGAGAATGATGGTTTCCAGGTTCATCCATGTCCCTACAAAGGACACGAACTCATCATTTTTGATGGCTGCATAATATTCCATGGTGTATATGTGCCACATTTTCCCTGTCCAGTCTATCATCGATGGGCATTTGGGTTGGTTCCAGGTCTTTGCTATTATGAACAGTGCTGCAATGAACATTCGTGTGCATGTGTCCTTATAGTAGAACGATTTATAATCCTTTGGATATATACCCAGTAATGGGATTGCTGGGTCAAATGGAATTTCTATTTCTAGGTCCTTGAGGAATTGCCACGCTGTCTTCCACAATGGCTGAACTAATTTACACTGCCACCAACAGTGTAAAAGTGTTCCTATTTCTCCACATCATCTCCAGCATCTGTTATCTCCAGATTTTTAAATGATGGCCATTCTAACTGGCGTGAGATGGTATCTCCATGTAGTTTTGATTTACATTTCTCTAATGACCAGTGATGATGAACATTTTTTCATATGTTTGTTGGCCTCATGTATGTCTTCTTTGGTAAAGTATCTGTTCATATCCTTTGCCCACGTTTGAATAGGCTTGTTTGTTTTTTTCTTGTAAATCTGTTTTAGTTCTTTGTAGATTCTGGTTATCAGCCCTTTGTCAGATGGGTAGACTACAAAAATTTTTTCCCATTCTATTGGTTACCAATTCACTCTAATGACTGTTTCTTTTGCTATGCAGAAGCTGTGGAGTTTGATTAGGTCCCATTTGTCTATTTTGGCTTTTGTTGCCAATGCTTTTGGTGTTTTGGTCATGAAGTCCTTGCATACGCCTATGTCCTGAATGGTTTTGCCTAGATTTTCTTCTAGGGTTTTTATGGTGTTAGGTCTTATGTTATGTAGGTGATTTTTATTTCCAGTACCTTTCTAACATATAATAATAATATATTAATCTGATAATCAATAGCTAGTTTTCTACCACCAGAGCATACTAATTATGCTGTGACACTGTCATAAGTGCATGATGATGTCCACGCTGTACTGGTTTTTAATCATTTCCTCACTTTAAAACTGTCATCCAAAGTGCTGTTTTTCTCTTTTGTAGCATCATTCTAGTTTCTTCCTAATAAGTGTTTTTGGAGTTGTTTACGTATGGTTTTTCTTGGTTTTAGCATTGGTCATTGTAGGAAACCTAATTGAAATTAATGGTACATAGAATCTTTTTACTCTTAACACTTTGCAGTGCTTTAATATGTGGTATCATCCAAACAGTGAAAACTTTAATTTTAAAATAATTTTTAATGAAAATAGTACATTTCTTTCAGGAGCACATATTTACCCAAACACAATCGATAGTTCTTCAAAGTATAGGTCCTTAGGAGATCTGCTTTAAGAAGTAGAGAAGAACGGGCAGTGGTTACTACATAGTTGTTTTTAAGTGGGGATTTTGAAATTCTTAAGGGCATGCAACACTACTTTTATCCATTAGCGTTGGTTTGGAGCATGCAGTAGAAATCTGACTAAAGAGTGGCTTAAACAAATTCATTTTCTCCATTTCATGTAATAAAAAAAATCTTGAAAAAACCACTGTAGTTTATATAATGGCTCAGGTGTTGTAAACGCCCAGACTCCTTGTGACTTCATGTTCCGCCTTCCTTCATAGGTGGCTGTTATCCTCATAGACCTAAGATCCTTTCTGCACCTTCCAACAGCATACTTTTTTTCCAGGCAGACACAAGATGAAATCCAGGGAACAAAAGGTAAAGGAGATTGAGTTTGCCCTTTTAGGCAGCTTTCCCTGAACTGTTTCCCTATAGCTTCCAGTTACATCTCACTAGACAGAATTGTCACTTGGCCACTTTCATCACCTGCGAGATATAATTTTTTAGCTGGGACTACTGCCATCCCAAGTGAATGAAACATTCTGTTAGTGAGAAAAAGAGACTGGTTATAGAGCTGGTAGCTGGTAATCTGCTGTTCATTGAGCATTTTAATTTTTCTTTATGATATGTTGTTAAAAGTTCTACATTTTCTAGTAGTAAAAGATTGATTAACCCAAAACCAGCATTTGCTAATTTTTATAAATTTTAAATGAGTTTGGTTCAAATGAGTGAAGTTTTACTCTGTTGGTTTTGCTTTTTTGTGTTTATAAAAGTATTGAACTACTCTAATTTTTCCAACACTTCTTAAAAATCGTGTCACTGCATATTGCATAAAATTCTGATTATCATGCATGGAATTTTATTAATAAAAATAAAATGTGTCATAAATGTATGCTGCCTGGTGTTTTGATTTTGCAATTTGCAAGTATACTTGAAATCCTGCTAATATGGGAAAGCAGGAACCTGCAAATCATAATGGCTACAATATGGCAAAGAAACTGTTTCCTCTTCTTATCAGAGTAAGCAAGTTTTAGATGGAAAATTTATTGCACTTAAGATTTTATACAAGATAATTTCTTAAAAGAAATAAAGTCCTTTATAATTTGTTTTTCCACTTCCAACATATTGGTGGTGCTTGTGGGGCATTTTAAATCATAAGGTGCAGTGTGAACTGGTAACATAACTTAGTTTTGTGCTGCAGATCTCAGAAGTAGGAAGGAGGGAGAGTGGGACTGAGCTGTGATTATTGTCACCAGAAAATGTACTGGAAAGGGGTAAACATGAGGTAATGAAACTTTCCTCACTGTAAAAACAAAACCAGAAAGTTAAAGGAATCAACCATATTGATTCAGTTAAAATATATGTTTTTTTCATTTAAATTCCTGATGATTTCATTCTGTATAGATTGTAAGACTATAGGTGCATACTTAAAATGCAGTTACCCTCCACAGGATGTTGGGGCTGTGTTTATTAAAAAATTAGCTTGGGAATCACTTTGATCCACTAACTTCTGTAGGGTTTTGTGTTATTGCTTTGCTGAGCAAGAATTCTTGGATTGCTGATGACATACTGGTAACATTAATAGACCTTTAAGGTGAGTGTGTGTGTGCACGCACATGTACATGTGCAAATGTGCGTATACATACATGTGCTGTCATATGCATAATTTTCTAAGAAAAAGGAAGGTTAAAAAAAAAATCTGGCAGCATTTCTAAAAAAGGTGTTCTGAGTTGCCTGATTTCCTTGGATGCTATCCCAGAAGCTTCCTATCAGATGAAGTAGCACATTGAGTACAGCAGATGTAAAATAGTGCATGAAATCTTTTCTCTGCATGAGGTTATTGCATTGGTTCAAATATTTGCCATAATCTTAGCAATTAAAGTGTATACTATCCACCTCTGCTTCACTCAGACTTATTCATAAAAACAAGCCTCTTCTGTGCTTTATTATATTTTTCTACCATATTTAACAATGAACGCAGACTTACTATAAATGTATTCTTTTTGTATAATAATCAGAAGTCTTAATCATTTCTTGATAATAAATCCTGATCTTCTGGGCTATCAGCACGTGGGCTTAGTATATAAGAATGTTTATTTTAAAACAGCTCTCATTATGGGTTCAGACTTTTGGCTTAAAGTCTGGGCTGTCAGTGAGTTCAGTCTCTGACCAGGAACAGGAGTCTCCATCCCAACATCCAGGACAAACCATCTGACTGAGCACACCTATTTATGATACAGAGTTCATGACTTTTCAAAACCAGCACATTTCTCCTTATGACAAAGTTTTGATTTGTACACACTTTTCCTCATATTAACTTCAGATTGTCTTCCATGTAATTTACATGGATGGTTGATTCTGCCCTAGGGAGTAACTGCAGATTGTCTGTCTTCTACATGGCAGTCACTCAAATATTTGAATGCAATTATGATGTCCTTTCTAAATATATTCTTCAGACCAAACATCCTTGTGGAGGTTTTGAAGAAAGGAATGGTAGGTGGCAGTGTGGCAGAAAATTGTTGAAGTAAAACCCAGTAGGCCTCAGACACCGAAGCTGGATCTCTGTAGGGTTGACCAGATAGCTGACGGCAACTCAGCACTTAGGCAGCTCATATGAAAAGGGACTGTAAATGCAGGTGCCTTATTTATTTATGACAGGATCTTGCTTTATCACCCAGGCTGGAGTGCAGTGGCATGATCTCAGTTCACTGCAACCCCAGCCTCCTGGGCATAAGCAGTCCTCCCACTTCAGCTTCCTGTGTAGCTGAGACTACAGGTGTATGTCACCATGCCTGGCCAATTTTTGTGGGTTTTTATAGAGACAGGGCTTTCCCATGTTGCCCAGGCTGTTCTCAAACTTTGTACTTGAGTAATCCACCTGCCTGAGCCTCCCAAAGTGCTTGAATTACAGGTATATGCCACCGTAACTAGCCTAGATGCAATATTTATAGATATGTGTGTATACGTGGGTTAGTATGCACACATGTATTTTCTTGCTCTGTCAGCCAAGATGGCCTAGATACAACAATACCCCAGCAGCAAGAAGAGCACCCAGCAACCAGACCTTGGTTTTTAATAGTTTTCTAGTAAAAGGGATCGGATCCTGGAAAAATGGTTGATTCTAGGAATGAGTCAGGAAATATACAGGATGAGCCTGGAGCATCTTATAATACCGGAAAGCAGAAAGTGGGAAAGTACAAAACAAAAACAAAAACAAACCTCATTGATAGCACATGTAAAAGGAGCACAAGAGCCAACAGAAGGAGCTGCCGGTGGCTAAAGCTGGGACAACTTAAGCAGCAAATTGAAGTAGTATCTGACAGTAACCTAAACTATAAAAGTAACACCCATGAGACCATACGTGTGTGTGTGTAAATGATAAAGAGGAAAAAATGGATAAATAGCCTTGCAGAAGAATCCCAAATAAGTTTTGTCAGTACTCCCATTTCAAGGAAGTAGAACATAACCCTTCACCCTTTCAGTATAGGCTTCTCATAATGTCTTTCTGAAGAGTACAGTATGCAAAGGAGGAAAGAATAAGAGTAACTGCAGTGGAGCAACCTAACAAATACTAATTTACGCAGTTTATCAAGGTCAACATCAACAGTGATAAGTATTGTTACTAGTATGTACACTTGATATGACGTGATGGAAATGATGCTTTACTTCTGCGGTTTTCTTCCCAAAAATTCATAGCCCCAGTGTAGTCAAGTGAAAAACAGCAGACAAATCCCAATTGAGGCATATTGTGTAAAATAAACAGCAAGATCATCAAAAACAAGAAAAGTCTGAGAAACATCACAGCCAGGAGGAACCTGAGGAGACATAAAGACTAAATGTACTATGGAATCCTGGATGAGATCCTGGAACAGAGAAAGGACATTAAGCAAATGAAGCAAATCTGAATAAAGTATGGACTTTAGTTAATAATAATGCATCAATATTGTTTCATTAGTTGTGACAAATGTATCATACTAATATAAGGTGTTGATAATAGGGGAAACTGCATGGGGGCTATATGGGAACTCCGCACTATTGTCTCAGGTTTTCTGTCAATCAAAAACTGTTCTAAAAAATAAATTTTAAAAAATGTTTAAAGATAACTGGGGAAAAGCCTAGATGACCTTGGTATGGTGATGACTTTTTAGAAATGACAGCGAAGACAAGATCCATGAAGGAAACAGTTAATAAGCTGTACTTTCTTAAAATTGAAAACTTCTGCTCTGCAAAAGACAATGTCAAGAAAAGGAGACGACAACCCACAGACTGGGAGAAAATATTTGCAAGAACTTTTATCCAAAATATACAAAGAATTCTTAAATCTCAACAATAAGAAAACAACCCAATTAAAAAATAGGCAAAAGACCTGAACAGACACTTCACCAAAGATGATACACAGATGGCAAATAAGCATATGAAAAGAAGTTCAACATGATATGTTATTAGGAAATTGCAAATTGGAACAAGAAATCACTAAATACCTATGAAAATGCCAAAATCCAGAACACTTACAACACCAAATGCTGGTGAGGAAGTGGAACAACAGAAACTCTTAGTAATTGCTGATAGGAATTGAAAATGGTACCGTCACTTTGGAAGACAGTTTGGCAGTTTCTTATAAAACTAAACATATCCTTATCACACAACTCAGTAATCACACTCCTTGGCGTTTATCCAGATGAATTAAAAACTTATATCCACACCAAAACCTGCATCTAGATCTTTATAACAGCTTTATTAATACTTGCCAAAACTTGGAAGCAGTGATGTCCTTCAGTAGGTGAATGGATAAACTGTGGCACATTCAGAAATGGAATATCATTCAGTGCTAAAAAGACATGAGCGATCAAGCCATGAAAAGACCTGGAGTATGAAGACACAGGGTGCTCAGCAAAAAATAAAGAAAAGACATGGAGAAGCTTAAATGCCCGCCACTAAGTGAAAGAAGCCAATCTGAAAAGGCCATATACTGTATGATTCCAACTATGTAACATTCTGGAAAAGACAAAATTGTGGAGACAGTAAAAAGATCAGTGCTTGCCAAGGGTTGTAGGAAGGGAGGGATGAGTAGACAGAACACAGAGGATTTTTAAGGCACTGAAACTACCTTGCATAATGTTATAATGGTGAGTGTGCATGTCATTGTACATGTGTTAAAGCCCTTAGAATGCACAACACCAAGAGTGAGCCCTAGTGTAAACCATGATCTCTGGGTGATAATGACGTCAGTGTAGGTTCATCAGTTGTAACTGTGGTGGGCAGTGTTGGCAGTGGGAAAGGTTGTACAGGTTGGGGAAGGGGGAAAATGGGAATTTTCTGTACTTTCAGTTTTGCTGGGAACTTAAAACTGCTCTAAAAAACAAAGTTTATTAATTCTAAAATGCCAGTAAGAAATCTATTACGTCCTCTTTCCCCATTAGACAAGCTGAATGGAAGTCACATTATCCAAAGACTACCCCGGTTACTAGGAGAACATGGAGTCAGGACAAGAATGGACTTTAGTTGGATGCTGGGTTTAATACCTAGGTGATGGGATGATCTGTGCAGCAAACCACTGCAGCACACATTTACCCATGTAACAAACTGCCACATCCTGCACACATACCCCTGAACTTAAAGGTTGGGAAGAAAAAAAAAAAAAAAGAATGGATTTAAGTCGCATAATTTTAATGTGTGATGGCTACAAACTCCTATAGTTGAATGTTCGTTTTTCTTAGATGGACAGGACTTCTCTGTTGGGCAGGGCAGGATGGGCAACGCAAATGTGTTTTTTTGCCCCTGCTCCATGTGGACATACACACCTCTGCTGAACACATATGTTCAATCTGGTTATCTGGTTTCCAGGTGGGCAAATGTATAGACTTTATCCATTTATGGCCCTGACTCATCATGCTTTGATTTTGAAGTTTAACTTTCAAAACATGACATTTCTCTGATTTCCAAGTTTTTCCAAGTACATTGCCCTTGAACAACACACTGTACTTGGTTGTGGATTTTTTTCAGTAAGTGCAGTTGGCACTCCATATAGGTGGGTTCCACATCCACAACCAAACGCCAATCAAAAATACAGTCTTCACGGGATGTGAAACCTGCATACATGGAGGTCCTACAGCCATTCCCCTGTGAATACCAAGCAGCGACTATACTTCCTCAAAAGCACTGCTGACAACCCCAACTCCCTCAAGTTTCCTTAATGAACCCCATTTTTCAGGCTCTTTCTTACCCTGGTTCTCCTCCTCCTCTTCTGGTTACACTCCCATTACTAAATACCATTCCTACTATTTTATTTTAATGTTGCATTTAAAACCTAATGCCTAGAATGGCCGAAGGACTCTACGTATTATATGATTATTTCAGAGTACAGTGGACTCTTGTATTCATCTGGACATTGTAATTGCATTAATGCAACCAAAATTATATTAAGTACTTCAGCATCCCCATCTCCCTAGCTCTCGTTGAGACTGCGGTTAAAAACATCCCTGAGGCCTTTGTCCTCTGAACTGCTGCATCACGCAGCTGCTTATAAAGCCGTCTCTCCTCCAAGTTGTGCTTTTATAATCGAATCTCTTTAAATGTAAATGCAGACAATTACATTTGTCCTAGTTAAATTTCATCTTGTTATTTCGAGTCCACAGTTCCAGCTTGTTGAGATCTCATTGAATCTTGGTTCTGTCATGGATTTCTGTTATGCATACTTGCTTGTGTCTGCAATCCAGGTAGAGAGGCTTGAAAATAAATATATACCAGCTGGGCTAACTCAAAGCAAGAGGTACTGAGAGAAGATAGCAGTGATGATTGTTCAGGGATGCAGAGGGCAACTACCCATTCTCTACATAGTAATTTCCTAATACATATTGGAGGCAGTTCAAAGTTCAACATTATGAGATATAGCAAAAGCCATTTATTGCTAATTACATTTAACAAACTGATGCCTGTGAAGAACTTATTCCTATAAATTAGAGTGAATTTGAGACTCTATCATTATTCAGCCATTCTTCAGTGGGAGAAAAATGGTGGAGTTAAACTAGTGGAAATCAGGCTTTCTCATCTAGGCTCAACCCAGTTGATAAGCTGGGTTTGCCAATCACTACTCCAGCACATTGCCCCTCGGTTTATTTTTAAGTCTATGTTTGAAGGACCATGTTCCCATGAGTGACACCCTTCCATAAGTGTGGTGGCACATTATGGGCTGCTGTTTTAGAAGAGACTGCCAGCTTGCTGGGGATTATCCTGGTGTATTCTTTTCTCTCCTGCTGGTTCATGACATGCCACTGGCTTGAAAATTCTCAGCTTTAACATTTAAAGCAGTGATTTGCAAAGTGCAACATGTTTAAGCTGAGGTTGGCAAACTGTGACCCATGGAGCAAATCTGGCTCACCACCTGTTTTTAGTACATCGCTAAATTGTTGAGGAAATCAGAAGATATTTCATGACGTGAAAATTATATGAAATTCAACTCTCAGTATGCATGAATAAAATTTTATTGAACACATGCTCATTTGTTTATTGTCATTGGCTGCTTTTGTATTATAATAGCAGAATTGAGTGGTTGTGACAGAGACTGTATGACCCACAAAGCCTAAAATATTTACAGATACGGCCCTTTGCAGAAAAAGCTTGCCCACTCTTGTATTAATGGGATGGTAGAAACTGAATTTTTGAGCCCCACCTCAGACCAAATGAATCAGAATGTCTACAAATGGGAGTCTAAGAATGTACATTTTAAGCAAGCTCTTGAAGGTCACCCCTAGGCAAACACTGAGACAAGACTAATGATCATGAGGTAAGGCTATGGGAAAGGAAAATATTCTGTCCCACTTTTTCTGACCAACTTACAGCATTTTAATCCAACGCCATAATTTTTCTACAGACTAAATTATGTTGATCAGTTTCTAAGCACTTCTCTCCAAATCAGCTCTCTTCCAAACTTTTCTATTTTGTGGAAAGAAGGCTGTATTAGTTTCTTAGGGCTGCTGTAACAGATAATGAACTGAGTTGATCTGACCAACAAACGTTTGTTCTTTCACAGTTCTGGAGACCAGAAGCCCAAAATCCAGCAGAGGTGTGCTCCCTCTGGGGAGTTCAGGGAAAGAATCCATTCTTTGCCTTTTTCAGCTTGTGGTGACTATCAGCACTCTTGGCTTGTAAGTGCCTCACTCCAGTCTCTGCCCCAGTGATCTCATTGCCTCCTCTTCTCTGTCTTCTCTTTCATCTGTCTCAAATCTGCTTCTGCTTTTCTCTTCTAAGGACATTTGTCATGGGACCTAGGACTCACACGGCTAATCCAAATGATCTCATCTCAAGATCCTTAATATAATTATATCAGCAAAGCTACAAAGACCTTTTTTCCAGTAAGGCCACATTGACAGGTTTTGGGGGTTAGGACAGGGACATCTCCTTTTTAAGGCCACCATCTAACTCACTACAGATGCTGTTGTTCTCCCTTTTCCCTAATAGCTGGTCAGTTTTCAAATCTTGAAGATTCTGTCCCTTCTCGAGTCCTGCTTCCACCATTCTGATCTCTTTCTGCCGTAGGAATCTCTTAAAAATTTCTGACGGTTTCCTACTCTTTTAAAAGTTCAGAACACACTTGTGAGCTTGACATTTAGGGCTCTCTGCAGAATGTTGCCAGCGTATTTTCCATTTCCTTCTCCCTCTTCTTTGCTACACATACCTTGCCCTCTAGCCACACTGTGCTATTTGCCATTGCCCTCACTGCTCCTCCCTTCTCTCTGAACCCTCTCACACTGTTCCTTCCTCCTGGAAGACTGGTTGTTCCTCCATCCTTATCACTATGATCCTGCCCCTGTATCACCTAACACCCAGGTATCTTTCAAAGCCCATCTGAGGTTCCACCTCCCCATGAGAGCTTTGCTGCTCCTCCCTGCTAGGGATGAATCTCTGAGCCTTTGGCACCTCACACAGTGTTTATTTTGTCCTACCTTGTGTCATAATGGCTCTAGATGCTCCATGTCTTCAGGTCGAGGGCTGTGAGAGACAGCATTGCACAGTGGCTAAGAACAAGGGCTCTGAATCAGACTGCCCAGTACAGCTCTGGTCACTAACCAGCCACGTATCCTTGGACAAGTTATTCAACCTCTTCTCACTATAGTTTTCCGTCCGCAATGGAGATTATGGTAACAATTCCTTCCTGGTATTGTGAGGCTAAAATGAAATAATGTATGTAGAATACCTGGAATTCTAAGCATGAAATATTATCTGTTATTATTGTCTTGTCTCTATTTCCCAACAGCTAACACAAGAACTTCTATAGTAGGTATTAAATAAATACTTATAGAATTTAAATCGCTAAATTCAAACCTGGCACCAGAAGGAGGCAGCCTGTGCTTTTCTGTTCAGACTCCATCTTTATCAACTCTAGTAGGTACAACCTGCCTTCAGCAAGACATAAATAAATGAACTTTCTCTCTTTTGCTGGCAGTATCATTAGAGATCCTGTTGTTATATTCTTTTTGATACTAGTTCTTTTCATTACATGGGTAATTGGTGGTTAAATAAGGTATTCATCTTTTAGTGATTACTGCCATATAGACTAGCTTGTTGCCAAATACTAAACCACTAGAAGTAACCATAGGGACTTTCAATTTTTGTGACATCCATTGATAGAAGCAAGTGCCTGGGAAAATAAAGGAACTATTTTTTTTGTACCCATTAACCATCTCCATCTCCCCGCCACCCCAAACCTCCCACTACTCTTTCCAGCCCCTGGTAACCATCCTTCTGCTCTGTAAGATGCAACTATCTTATTCTTAATGCTGATAATGAAAGAAAACCAAGTTTAGGCCGGGCACAGTGGCTTACGCCTGTAATCCCAGCACTTTGGGAGGCCGAGGCAGGTGGATCACAAGGTCAAGAGATCGAGACCACCCTGGTCAACATGGTGAAACCCCGTCTCTACTAAAAATGCAAAAATTAGCTGGGTGTGGTGGCATGTGCCTGTAGTCCCAGCTACTTGGGAGGCTGAGGCAGGAGAATTGCTTGAAACCAGGAGGCAGAAGTTGCGGTGAGCCAAGATTGCGCCATTGCACTCTAGCCTGGGTAACAAGAGCGAAACTACGTCTCAAAAAAAAAAAAAAAAGAAAGAAAAGAAAACCAAGTTTAATCAGAGGAATACACAAGATGAGTAGATGGAGACTTGCAATATTCTACAGGGGACTTCTCAAGTTTTTCAATGACTTTAAAGGTGCAACGACCTGAATCTATATTAAATCCCATTTCACTTCATTTCTTACAATATAGTCTTACAGTTACTTGTCATGCTTTTTAATTTATAGTAAAGAAAGCTGATTTTCTTCAGTTACCTAGGAAAGAGTGTCAGATTATGGAGTCAGATTATGGAGGGCAAACCTTCATGAAGGCACTTGTGCCCTGAGTGACAGGTTGTCTGTGGTGGCTTTGAATGAGTTGTGATTGGTGAAAATGGAAAATTCTCCTTGAGCATGGTGTTTTAGGGAGAGAAATGGTGATGCAGGCTAGAGAGGTGAGGTGTCGTGGATTATGGGACAGCAGTGTGACTAGAGAATCAGGAATGGGGTGGACAGGTAGAGGTAGAGATGGTATTGTGCAGGCGGCTGTCAAGCCTTGGTTTTGTAAGCGACTCTGTAGCTTGACTGCACCTTGGGCATTGTCTATGAGTACATACTTCTGAGTACAGATACACTATAAATTTTTTCTATTTTCTTGGTTCATGTATTCTTTTCATTTAAAAAGTTCTTTTAAAATTGGAAAATGTGCCAGATTTGAGCTGACATAGATATATAAAGTGCAACACAAGTTATTTAAAAAAAAAAAAAATTCCATCAAATGAAAGTTATAAGGTAAAATCTTGTGTGAGTCAGTAATTATACCTCCTGGTTTTCAGCAGGGCTGATTTTGTTCAAAATATTTTTGGAATTCTTTTAAAAGCATCTTATCCCAGTGTCTTTAAAGTAAGAGAAGAGAGTTGTCTTCATATCTTATACCGTTTTAGAACATTTTGATCATATTAGTAAGATAATATGTATAAATGTGGAAAAAAGAATTATCATATTCAGCTATTTTGACTGAAAATGTAGGAAAATTAACAAAACAAAATTAAGAAAAGTAATTCTAAAGTTTAGTAAAGTGACAGCAAACAAGACCAATTAAAAAAAAAATCAGCTATCCTGTAGTTAGAGGGTGACCCTAGTTTATAACCAGTAAGAAAATATATTTTTAAAATTCTCAATAGTGAAATAATGTAATGAGAAGTGTATTATTAATATTTATATGATGTTTTAAATTTTGAGACACAAGTGAAGATGACTAAAATAAATATATACTATTTTCCTTTAGATAATGTAAAGATGCCATTCTTTATACATTGATTTTAAGGTTTAGCATCGTTTTTGTGGAATATTTAAATATTTTATTTATATAATAGGATACTGATCAAAATTCCAATACGATGAGTCTCTTCTTCCAAGGGATAAAACTAAGACATAAAAGAATTTCAAAACTTGTTAAGAATAACACACACAAAATTAGCTGGGTGTGGTGGTATGCACCTGTGGTGCCAGCTACTTGGGAGGCTGAGGCAGGAGAATTGCTTAAACCTGGGAGGCAGAGTTTGCAATGAGCCAAGATTGCACCACTGCACACCAGCCTGGGCAAAAATAATTACATGAATGGAGATAAGACAAATCCAAATTTAAAAGCATTCTATAAAACAGCTGGCCTAGAATTTTTCTAAATGTCATGTCATAGAAGATAAAAAGAAATGAGAGAGGAAGGAGAAGTAGGGAAAGAAGAAAGGAGAGGAAGGAAGGAAGGAAAAGAGGGAGGGAGGAAGGAAGACATGTTGAAAGATTTTAAAGACACTTAACTAAATGTAATGGGTAATTTTTTTTATAACTTTTATTTTGGGTTTGGGGGTACATGTGCAAGTTTGTTGTATAGGTAAACTTGTGTCACTGGGGATTGTTGTACAAATTATTTTGTCCCCCAGATACTAAACCTAGTACCCAATAGTTATTTTTTCTGTTCTTCTACCTCCTCCCACCCTCTACCCTCAAAGAAGCCCCAGTGTCTGTTGTTCCCTTCTTTGTGTCCATGTGTTCTCATCATTTAGCTCCCACTTTTAAGTGAGAACATGTGGTATTTGATTATCTGTTTGCTAAGGATAGTGGCCCCCAGCTCCATCCATGATCCCACAAAAGACATTATCTCATTTTTATGGCTGCATAGTATTCCATGGTGGGTATGTCCCACATTTTCTTTATACAGTTTACCATTGGTGGGCATTTAGGATGATTCCATGTTTTTGTTGTTGTGATAGTAAAGTAATGAACATTTGTATGCATGTGTCTTTATGGTAGAATGATTTATACTTCTCTGGGTATATATCCAATAATGGGACTGCTGAGTTGAATAGTAATTCTGTTTTTAGCTCTTTAAGGATTTGCCATTCTTTTTTCCACAATGGTTGAACTAATTTATACTCTCACCAACAGTGTATAAGTGTTCTCTTTTCTCTGCAATCCCACCAGCATCTGTTGTTTTTTGACTTTTTAGTAATAGCCATTTTGACTGGTGTGAAATGGTATCTCATTGTGGTTTTGATTTGCATTTATCTAACAATCAGTGATACTGAGCTTTTTAAAAATATACTTGTTGGTCATATGTCTGTCTTCTTTAGAAGAGCGTCTGTTCATGTCCTTTGCCCACTTTTTAATGTTTTTTTAAAATTTATTTAAGTTCTGTATAGATGCTGGATATTAGACTTTTATCAGGTATGTGGTTTGCAAGTATTTTCTCAATGGGTAATTCTTGATCAGTTTTTTTAAAGTTTGAAGTTAATTATGGGAATATTGAATTTCAATATTGACTGGGTATTGGATAATAGTATTGAATACAGTAATGTTGTGGTTACAAAAAAGAAAGCCCTGTTCTTAAGAGCTATATTGAAATATTTAGGGGTGAGCTGTTACAATATTTATGGGTTACTTTTTTTTTTTTTTTTTTTTTTTTTTGAGACAGAATCTTTCTCTGTCACCTAGGCTGGAGCGCAGTGGCATAATTTCAGCTCAGTGCAACCTCTGCCTCCTCGGTTCAAACGATTCTGTGCGTCAGCCTCCAGTGTAGCTGGGATTACAGATGCATGCCACGACACCCAGCTAATTTTTGTATTTCTAGCACAGGTGGGGTTTCGCCATGTTGGTCAGGCTGGTCTCCAACTCCTGATCTCAGGTGATCCGCCCAGCTTGGCCTCCCAAACTGCTGGGATTACAGGCATGACCCACCACACCTGGCCCATGGGTTGCTTTCAAATGGTTCAGGAAAAAAAGTGTATGTGCATGTGCTGCATATATTTAAAGATACACAGAGAAAATAAAATGTGACAAACTATTAATAATTGGTGGCTGGAGGTAAAGGATATACACAGGTGTTCATTGTATTATGACTTTAGCTTTTCTGTAGGTTTGACATTGTTCAAAAATAAGCAGGGGAGACAATATTAAGGAAAACTCTTAGAAATTGTACTGAAGGCTATCAGCCGTGCCAGATCCACTGTTCATTTAACAAGAAGATATTGACTTCATACTATTTCTGTATTGCTACAGTTATTAAAAGAGTAATGATACAAGGCTAAATAGGGATTAATGGACTGAAATAAATAGCCAGAAGACCTCGCATAGCTAGAAATTTCTCAGATGATACATCAATAGGGAAGGGCAGGAATATTCATGGAAATCATATAGAGATAAATTGTTAGTAATTTTCAAAAAAAATAACTTTGCCCTTCTTCAAACAAACACTAAAGTAATTTATATTGGATAGAAAACTTTATAAATAAATATAAAAAGAAAAATAATTATGATGAATGAGATCCTAAGCCTAGAATAAACTGAACAAATCACAAAGAAAAGAATTAGCAGGGTGTGGTGGTGCACACCTATCATCCCAGCCACTCAGGAGGCTGAGGCGAAAGGGAGTTCTGGGCTATGGTGCACTATGCCAGTTGGGTGTCCGCACTAACTTTGGCATCATTGTGATGACCTCCTGGGAGCCAAGGACCACCAGGTTGCCTAAGGAGGGGTGAACTGGCCCAGGTTGAAAACAGGGCAGATCAGAATTCCCATGCTTATTAATAATGGGATCACACCTGTGAATAGCCACGACACTTCAGCCTGGGCAACACAACAAGACCCCTTCTCCTAAAAAATAATAAGAAAAAGAAGAGAATCAGAAATTTTAACTGTATAAAAATCATAACCTTGCTAACACATGTAAAGACTAATCTAGAAAACAGTTTGCAGAGCTTTTATTATTATAAAGAATTAATTTGAATTGATTAAACTCCCAAATCTCAAGGAATGAATGACTAAGGTCAATAACAGATAATTCACCAAAAAATAAATCTAGTAAATAACTGCTAATTAAATCAATACAAATTAAGTTATGAATATTTCAACTTAAAAATCACCTTTTAAAAATAACAGTAATATACTGGAGAGGGTGCAGACAAGCTCCTATTTCATACACTGATGGTGATATTGCAAAGCTGTACAACTCTATTGGGAAATAATTTAGCAGTTCTTATAAGAAGTCATAAAAATTATACCATGGATTCAGTAATTCTACTCCAGGGTCTCTTGCTTAAGTAAATAATCCAAAATATTGATAGGGTGAAAACTACAGGCAAAACACTTGTCACTCTTATTATTTATAGAAATGAAACACTGTAAGTGAGCTAGATATTTAGCAATAATAGATTACTTAGAAAATTGAATTATGGTATCATACCCAAAGGACTATCATGCAGCTATTTAAAATGATGGTTGTGGAGATTGCATGGAAAAATTATTTTGAAATGTGAAGTTTTTAAAAAATTATGTGCATAATACAAATGGTATAAATTTTAAAGCCAATTTTATGAGCTTTTCTTTATCACTAGGTTAAATATTTATTCTTCTTACCAAAGTTTTTACTTTCTTTATAGTATATTATTTTCCCTCTAAAGAAAAGAAATAATTTAATGCAGTCTCCCATGCAAGGCAGTGTTTTGTATTGGAGCACATTTTAATCACTTGTCATTTCACTCTAGAATTGTCCAGAAAGATACGTATTCAAACAGCTGTATTGTATTGTACTCACAGTATGATTTTTGCATTTCTTCCACCCTATTACTTCTCCAACACGCTGAGTAAATCAAGGTATAAACTAAAGAAAATATTTTCAGCAAATAGTTTATTTGGGATATTCAACTTAAATGATGATTACTGTTCTAAAATTTTTACCTACCTTAGGTTTGCCCTCATCTGAGTATAGTCAGTACAGGTCCGCTCCGTACATGCAGAAAAATAACCTGCTGAAAATGTCCTTATCATTTATTTTACCTTCAAGCACTTTGCAGAGCTTCTCAGATGCCACCATTGTAAATATAGTAAGAACAGACCAACAGAATGACCAACCATTAGCATCCATGCTTTATCTAGAAATGTTGATATTCTAATTTTAAAACTATTATATATCGGGTAAATTGAAAGAGAAACAAAAGTCACAAAACCCATAATCTTTCTTACATGCCTTATCAGCTAATTCCTTGCAGTTGATCTAGACTAAATTCTGTTTTTTAACCAAGATGTTTGATGCTCCATAATTTTAGCAAGAATACCAACTGCCTTCTTGGGATCTAGTGATTTTGTTTTTTCATTCCTAAACCAACAGGATAGTTAATAAAAATAGCTGAGAAGGAGATTTCCACTTTTGGAAGGTCGAGTAGACATACTTTTTCTATTTCTTCCCCTAAGTCAAATTTAAAACTCTGGACATTATATATTTGAAAACTATAAAGATGAAAGGTAGAAGAAAACAGACTGTCTAGAAACCCCTGGGCCACAGCAGCAGCACAGCAATAAGTTCCATGGATTTTCATCTTGCTTCATGTATCCCAGACTTGGAGCTGAAGAAGCTGGCAAATAGGAAATGTCAACAGCATAGACAAAGCTCCAATGAAGCCTGCTCTCTGTTAGCTAAAAGACCAGGACAGGAACATCTTAGTAAGACAGAAAACTTTTAGACAGTCCTCTAGCTGAGCACTATGGAAGGAAATGTGGGCCCACCGTCACCCATGCCAGCAAATGCCTGGTGGGGAACCCAGGCTTCTACCCTGTGAAGCCCTAAGGAGGTATCCTAACACTCCTGCTGGGGTGGTTTCAGAGAAGGCCAAGTAAGGAGCTTAGACTTTTATCCCCCCTGGGCAGGAATTACCCTTTTCCCTTCTTGGTATGAGCGGAGACTGTGTGGGGAATCAGAACTCACCTCTACCCACAGTAACGCAGCACCGCACACCTCAGCTGTCAGCAGACCTGAGTAGGAAACTTAGACTTCTGTCCCCACCTTGCAGTAACAAGGCAGCCCCCCACTCTTTCCATTGCCAGAGGCATGGCGAAGAAAGCCAGTTAGAAAAAGAAGATTTAGGCTGGTTGTAGTGCTTCAACCTGTAATCCCAGCACTTTGTGAGGCCAGCCAACACAGGAGGGTTGCTTGAGCCCAGGAATTCAGGACCAGTCTGAAACATGAGGAGACTCCATCTCTACCAAAAAAAATAGCCGGGCATGGTGGTACATGCCTGTAGTCCCAGATGGGAGGATCACTTGAGCCTGGGAGATCAAGAGCTCGAGGCTACAGCAAACTATGATTGTACCACCACACTCCAGCCTGGCAGTCTGGACAACAGAACAAGACTCTGTATCAAAAAAAAAAAAAAAAGGAGAAGAAGATTTGAACAACATTCAGAATCTTATTACATAATACTAAAATGTCCAGCTTATATTTAATTCAGAATAACTCAATACAAAAAGCCAAGATGATCTTAGACTGAATGAAAAAAGAGGTAGTCAATACAGGCCAATACCAAAATGACAGAGGTGTTAGAATTATCTGACAAAGATTTTAAAGCAGTCATGATAAAAATGCTTCAGTGAGGCTGGGCACGATGGCTCAGGCCTGTAATCCCAGCACTTTGGGAGGCCGAGGCGGGTGGATTGGTCAAGAGATTGAAACCATCCTGGCCAACATGGTGAAGCCCCATCTGTACTAAAAATACAAAAATTAGCTAGGTGTGGTGGCACGCGCCTGTAGTCCTAGCTACTCGGGAGGCTGAGGTAGGAGAATTGCTTGAACCCTGGAGGTGGAGGTTGCAGTGAGCCAAGATCTTGCCACTGTACTCCAGCCTGGCGCCTGGCAATGGAGCGAGACTCTGTCTCAAAAAAAAAAATGCTTCAATGAACAATTAAGAATATGCTTGAAACAAATGAAAAAATAGAAAGGCTCAACAAAGGAATAGTCTCTGCTGAGAAACCATGGAGGTGAAAAAAATAGCCAAATATTTTTCATGTGCTGAAAGAAAAGAACTGTCAATCCAGCATTCATGCCCAGAGAAAATATCCTTCAGTAATGAATTGCAAACAAGACATTCTCAGATGAAGGAAAATTAAGAGAATCTGTCACCAGCAGACCTACCCTAAAATAATGGCTAAGGGGAGTTCTCTAAAATGTCAGAAAAGAGGAAAGAGCATGGTAAGCAAAAACATGTAAATACAACATTCTCCTCATGAGTTTACTAAATTGTGTTTGATGGTTGAAACAAAAAATATAATAATGTCTGATGTAATTCTAAATGTGCATAGAGGAAATATTTAAAACAATTAAAAATGGGAGAGTAAAAGGACATAAGATTTCTGTATTTCACTTGAACTGGTAAAGTGATGACACTAATAGACTGTGACAAGTTATGTATACATAATGTAATAAATGTAGTATCTAAAGCAACCACTAAAGAAAGCTATACAAAGGGACATTCTCAAAAACACTGTAGGTAAATAAAAGTAGGAATCTCAAAATTATTTAATCCACAAGAAGGCAGGAAAAGAAAACAGAGAAATAAAATATAGTGAAACAAACAGTCCATACTGTGGGCCTTAATACAAACCTCAGAAGATTTAAAAGAATTAAAATTATCTACTGTATGCTTTTTGACCACTATAAAATTAATCTAAAAATGAATAATAGACAACAGGAAAATAACCAAACACTTGGAAATTAAATAACACACTTCTGTATGACCCATGAATCAAAGAGGAAGTCTCAAGAAATTTTAAAATGCATTATACTAAATGAAAATGAAAATATAGTTTATCAAAATTTGTAAGACACAGCTAATGCAGTGCTAATACATATTTTAGAGAAGGCCAAAGGTTTCAAATCAGTAATCAAAGCTGTCACCTCAAGAACCTAAAGCAAAATAAATACAATAAATGAAAAGCAAAATAAACACAAAACAAACAAAGAAAAGAAATTATACAGAGCATAAATGAAATTGAAAACAGAAAAACTGGAGAAAATTAATGAAACAAAGATCCCTGATAGGGTTTGTCTCTGTGTCCCCACCCAAATCTCATGTTGGATTGTATTCCCCATTGTTGAAGGTGGGATGTGGTGGAAGATTATTGGATCATGGGGGTGGTGTCTGATGGTTTAGTACTGTCCCCCTAGAGCTGTCTCATGATAGAGTTCTCATGAGATCTGATTGTTTAAAAGTGTGTAGCACATCTCCTCTCTCATTCTTTTCTTCCCGCTTCAGCCACGTAAGATGTGCCTGCTTCCCCTCTGCTTTTGCCATGATTGTAAGTTTCCTGAGACTTCCCCAGCCATGCTTCCTGTAGAAGTCTGCAGAACGATGAGTCAATTAAACTCCTTTTCTTTATAAATTACCCAGTCTCAGGTATTTCTTTGTAGCAATGCAAGAACAATCTAATACAGTTTCATTCTTTGAAAAGGTTAGTAAATCAACAAAGCAATTCTACACATCTCTTCCAAAAAAGAAAAAACAAGAGAACAGTTCCCAAGTTATTTTATGAAACTATGATTACCCTAATACCAAAACCAATGATGGTACCAAAAAAAAAAAAAAAAAAAAGAAATACAAAGAAATATCCTTTATGGCTACAGATTTAAAAATTCTTAACATATTTCAAATAGAATTCAGCAATATATAAAATTAATGGTACTCCATGAACAAGTAGAGTTTATTCCAGGCTGACTCAGTATTTGAAAATCATCACTGTAGTG